TATATATATATATATATATATATATATATATATATATATATATATATATATATATATATATATATATATATATATAAGTTTGGCTTGAAGAATTTGCTAGAATTTTGGGACAAGTATAGAATACTCATTTAACTTGCATTTGGATTTGGGTAGATAAACCACATATATATATCTCCCAAACCCCTTTGTCTCACAAGTTTCTTTTGATTAATTATCATTATAAATGTACTATTTGATTTTAATTTTAATAAAATTATTATTTGAGAGAAAATAAATAATTCATAACATAAATTGATAACTTTTGGAATTTTTGAGGTTTGGACTTGGTATATTCATTTGACAGGTGGAAATAAGAATGAATTTGATCTGATCCAAAAGATTTTGCCTCCTAAAGTTATAATTTTTTTAAAATATATCATATTTACATACGATAAATAGAACAAATAAACTCATACACATTTTTCACTTTTAGTGAGCTTTAGACCCCTAATTTCTTAAAAAAACAAAGACTTACATACCGCTAGAGTAAAAGCCATCTGATTCAAGGTATAAATTTGATATGTACTCATTTAACTTGGAGTTTGTGTATATCCCCTTTACAACTCACAATTATTATGACCAAATATTTATATATTATTAAATGCAATTTTTTAAGTAAATATGGTTTAATACAAAAATAAATTATTTTATAATATTTGAAATAGATAACGCTACAAAAGTGTATGGTACTCGTTGATATGGGTTTATTTGTATTGAAAAATTATGAAAATAGTGGATATAAAATAAATCATGGGTATTTTTCATTTTTATATGTGTATTCATGGTATTTATTATGTATCTGTGAAATAATTACCTCATAATCAAAAAGTAAAGTAACAAAAACAAACATTGATTTTTTGAGGAGTTATATTTATCTTAATCACATATTCAGATATTAGTATATGACAACTCTATGCAATACAATTTCAAAAAAAAATTGAAGTATTTTTATTATAAATTATAATACGTGTACCAGATACATTAATAGTTATCATGAAAAGATAAAAAAAATGTCGTTTTGCATGTATATAAGAGAATACAAAATCATTTGTTCAATCCTCAAATTCCATGCCTTACTAAAAAATCCAAGGACGAATAAGAACCCCTTTGGCCACGGAGGTTCAAATGCGGTGACTCCAGACTATCTGCAAAGCAGGTGGTCGTTCTGGGATTAGTCAGCTCACATAACGGGTTGAATATCCAGATTAATCAAAAAAAAAAAGATCCATGCCCTACTAATCATAGGAAACACGTTATTAATTTATCTAAACTACACTTATTTAATTCGTCTTCTTTATTATACCTCTTCGATAAAATAACGTCTCTTTACATAATTGATAGACTTGAAAGAACCATAGAGCTTGAAGACATGTGATTTTTGTTTGTACACCGACGTTTCTACGAAAGAGTGCACGGAGGTGATTTTTATTCGTCTTCTGTTTGTTGCGTTTTTGTAGGACATTTCTCATTGTATTTCATTTGTTTGGATGTCATGTTTTCGATGTTTTGATCTAACCTTTTGTTTGTTCGAGGGCTTTATTCTTTCTCTTTGATGGGTTCGGTTTTGGATAGTTCTGCATCTTACGAGCACTTTTGAAACCCGATTCATTGGTGGGTCATCAACAAAATACAAAATTATAGAAGTCGATTAATAAAAAAAAAAAAATCCTTTTGAGAACCGAATCAAGAGTGATCTTCAGTGTAATTTCTCTCTTATTTACTAGTATTATTTTAAAAAAATACATTAATTAAATCATTGAAAAATCTTTGTTTGCTGTCTGGTGGATGTGGATGTTCCTTTTCTGACCTGGGTTTTTCAATTTCTTTTAATTAATTATTATATTATATCACCCGTATATTATATATACTTTCTATGTATAGAGGGTATATTTTAAATGCAACTATTTCTATTTATATAAACAATGCAACCCAATCAATTGAGATATTTATGTAAATAATTAGAGTTCATTTATTATGATTTACATATTTATGGAAGATGACTAGAGTTCATTAATTATGATCAATACTTTATATTAGAAAACAATCAAAACTTTTATAAAATCACATATTCATCAAATTAAATGAACGGTTGAGATTGAGTTGTACAAATGTAAAAGGTTGTATAATAATCACCTATGTATGTATATATATATATATATATATTATACATAAATATTATAAGGTGAGTTATTATGTAACCCTTTACATTTGTACAACCTAATCTCAACCGTCCATTTAATTTGATGAATACGTGATTTCATAAAAGTTATGATTATTTCCTAATATAAGATATTAATCATAATTAATGAACCCTAATCATCTTACATAAATTTTCAAATCATAATAAATAAACTCTCATCATTTTTATAAATATCTCAATTGATTAAATTGCATTGGTTGCAGAAATATAATAGGTTGTATTTGAAACATACCCTACATATTATATATATATATATATATATATACAACCTTGTACATTTATACAACCTTTGCAACCCAATTAATTGAGATATTTATAGAAATGATTGAAGTTCATTTATTATGATTTGAATATTTATGGAATATGAATATAGTTTATTAATTATGATTAATACTTTATATTAGGAAACAATTAATTTATTAAAAATTGAATGGTTGAGATGAGGGTTGTATAAGGTGTAGTAATGACAGAAGGTGTAAATAACATCCCTCTCTATATATAATATATATATATATATATATATTATATATATAGACTGATACTTGGTATTTATGCAATTTGGGTCTCTAAAAATACAGCTGATGTTTATAGGGTTTAAATGATTGAGGGAATTGATTTCAAGTTGATAGCTGGCAGGCAGTCAATCCGCGTTTAATCTCCGCGTTGGTTTTTCCTATTTTTCCTGATTTCTTCATTCTTGTTCTTGTTCTTTTTCCTGCTACAATTGTCGGCTCCCCAGTTGTAACCAGATCTGCATTTTGTTTTCAACCAAATCAGCACTTTGCTTGATGCTCGAATCTTCAAATTTCATATAAATTCTTTTCGTTTCATTAGGTTTTTGCTGTCAGATTTGTTTTATTTACAGTTTTTTCCATGTGGGTTTGATCTTATCTCAACATTCCCATTTCTTTACGATTTTCGTGTTCTTGTGACCCAAGAGGTGCATTTTAGGGGATCATTGAAGCAGGTTTGATTGGGAATTTTGAATGTGATGATCAGAAGTTGAAAATTTGGGGGATTTCTGTAAAAATTGTAATCTGGGAACAAGGGTTTTTGGTAAATATGGGATCAATGGCAGAGAATCATCAAAATCACCCTGATCTTGTTTCTCTATCTGCACTGATGAGTAGAGAATTGAAAAGTGAAAAGATGGAGAAACCAAGTGTTAGATATGGGTCTGCAGCTCAATCCAGAAAAGGTGAAGATTATTTCATGATGAAGACAGATTGCCAGAGAGTTCTTGGGAATCCTGCTTCAACCTTTTCTGTTTTTGGGGTAAGTGATTCTTATAAATTATGATACTTTTGCTTCTTTGGCTGCTTAGATCATGATCATGGTTTTTGTTTTCTAGAAGTAAATTGAATCAGTTACCATTGAATCAAACTATAATATGCAAACCATAAGGGTGGTGTCTGATTGGTTTGAGGCTCCAAAGTCAAAAGTACCGGCAGTGACAGGTTCAAATCCAATGAGGAATAAAAATACCCTTGTGGCCACGGAGTTTCAAATGCGGTGACTCCGGGCTATCTACTAAGTAGATGGTCGCCCTGGGATTAGTCGGCTCGCATAGCATGTTGAATATCCAGGTTAATAAAAAATAAACTATAATATGCAAGAACAAGCACTACAAGAAAATTGCTTTTATACATAAAACGGTGTATTAGGACATTTAGACATATTTATCAAGCCGATTTTGTTGTGGTGAAGGATTTCAAAGTGCATTTGAATGCAATATCAAGCCTTTTTGATGTCAAAATCATGTCGATTCATGCATTGGAAATGTAAAAAGGAAGGATTGATTGTTGATGTGTGAGGAGAAAATTACTAGGACGGTGTATTTAGCGATATATAGGTGTACCTTTAGCCTTCCTCTTTCTTTTTAGGTCAATTCTAAAGCAAAATTGACTTATTTGCTACTTGATAATTACAAAAGATAACCACAAGGGTGGTGCTTGATTGATTTGAGCTTGGCTCCAAAGGTCAAAAGTACCGGGAGGTCCCAAGTTCAAATCCAAGGAGGAATAAACACCCCCTTGTGGCCACGGAGGTTCAAATGTGGTGACTCCGGGCTATCTGCAAAGCAGGTGGTCGCCCTGGGATGAGTCGGCTCGCATAGTGGGTTGGATATCCATGTTAATCAAAAAAAGAAGAAGATGATACCCATTTCTTTTAATCCACAAAATTATCAAAGGGTATTTCAGACATTTAACTACGAGTCAGCCGTTCTTCGTTCTTGTACCTCATCAAAAGTTACAATTTTCATGGGGTCCGAAGAAGTACCTTGAGTTGGAGATCACAAGGGACTTAGAAAGATCAAATCTTTAATCTTTGGTTCATTGGAATTTGCAGTTCTTTTTTAAATATACAATACTCCTGGGAAGTTGGGATATATCTGTAACCCAGGTACTGCTAGGCCAATGACCCTTTTGCTAAATTTGCAGATTTTTGATGGTCACAATGGGGACGCTGCCGCAATATATTCACGGGATAATCTTTTAAATCATGTTTTGGATGCCATACCTTCTGGTCTTCGACGTGACGAATGGCTTCAGGCGTTACCTAGAGCGTTGGTGGCTGGTTTCGTCAAGACTGATAAGCAGTTCCAAAGCAAAGGCACGAAGAAATTTGCATCACACCCCACGAACGAAAATCACATGTCCCTTCTCTGTCCCACCAATCATGTATAAATTTAAATAAATACATGTTTTCATTCTTTCTCCGATAGATGTGTTTTCAGATGATTGGTGGACAGGAGATTTGGGGACAGGAGATTTTTACTCCTATCGAACTTATGCATAAAGACTAATCTTTTGGTTGACTTTTTTCCAGGTCTTACATCGGGAACAACTGCCACCTTCGTAATTATTGATAGATGGACTGTGACAGTTGCTTCAGTTGGAGACTCTCGCTGCATTCTTGATACACCGGGTGGACCTGTATCTGTTTTGACTGTTGACCATAGGCTTGAAGAAAACACCGAGGAGTGAGTAGAATCTATCTTTTATTTGAATCCTCGGATATATTTCTTGATGTGAAACGTTGGTTTGATTTCAAAATGCTATTTTTAGAAGGGATCGTGTAACGGCCAGCGGAGGGGAAGTGGGGAGGCTGAACGTTGTTGGTGGCCCTGAGGTGAGCCCTTTTTATTAAGTCGAAGAAGATGGTTAGTTTTTTAGAGTCCCACGTTGGATCGTGTGAGAAGGGAAATTATCGTCTATATATATGTAGGCGAAGGATTGTGTGAGAAAGGAAGTTATGGTGAGAAGCGTAAGAAGAGATCTGAACCTTATCACTTTTAATCTCATGCCCACCCATGAATTACGTATTAGAAGATAATTGATCCGAGTGCACCTCATTAGAATTGACATTCAATTAGGATTAATCCAAAGGTGGAAATCTTTTCCTATGTTTCTCACCATAACTTTCCTTCTCGCCGGAACTCAACTCATATATGTACACACACACACACACACATATAAGGTTGGGTTCAGGGTAAAACCACAAAAAATAGAAAACTAATAAACACCCTGATAACCATCAATTTGTCCAATATGACATGTGCATAGAAACCAGGAAACATTTTCAATTACTTTTATGCACTTTGCATACCGGACAAATGAATGGTTATTAGAGTGTTGTCCAGTTTTCCAATTTATTGTGGTTTTCCCCTGAATGTAAGTCTCTCTCTCTCTCTCTCTCTCTCTCTCTCTATATATATATATATATATATATATATATATATATATATATAAAA